TATTACAAATTAAAATAACTAATTTTATAAAATAATATTTTAATATGTTTTAAAAGTAATTTTAAATGTAATTATTCTTTGGCGATAGAAGGTAAAAAAACAAAAAACTAATATTTTTGTAACTATGAAGGTGTCTGTTAATTTTAATCAATTAAATATGTCCTTGCTGAATGAAAGTGTAAAAAATAAATAAATAAATAAAAACATACTGATATAAGGGCATAAGTTTAAAATCTGAATCCTGATCCTACATTAAAGTGACCAAACGATAACATTACTAGACTGAAATGACATTTACATTTACATTTACATTTAGTCATTTAGCAGACGCTTTTATCCAAAGCGACTTGACTTTCCATATTGACAAACCTGAGCTGACATGAATATTGTACATTCTAGACTTTATTCTCATTAAAGGGTTATATCAGAGTCACATTTATAATTATTCACTTATTTCGAAATAATTGACACATGGGAATAAATGATGTGATGCTGGACAATTAGTTTTGAAAGAAGGAGTTGCCTCAACATGTCGTCTTTTACAAGCACAGTATCAATTCAATATTCTCAACCATTTACCAATGTAATTAAAACATTCTAAAGGGAAAGATTATTAAAAAATGAATTAAAAAGTAAAAAAAAACTGTACTGTACTTAAATGTAAAGTAAAAAAAGTACTGCTATATGAACAAAAGTGCAGTAACATTTGGTTTGCAAACACTTTAAACAAATAAGGTGCTTTTTTTTACAGCAGTATTCCTTTTACATAGCCTAGTAGCAGTTAAAATATTTCTTGTAAATCTCAACTTATAACATTAATGTAATCAAATTAAATATAAAACAAGCTATTTGCCACTGCCAGGGCATTAACGTTTTTATAGAAAATATTTTATAGTTTGTTATAGAAAAACAAGTTATGCTCAGAGTCCAGAGCCTCCATCATAACATTATAACAGGCACCTTAGAGACCTGCACAATCGCGGGACCCAAAGCAGCAGAGTGCGGCGCGGGACAACACTTGATGGGCGAGTGCGGGTGCGGGCGGGTAGAGACTCGTGTGTGCGGGATAAGGGAGAATAAGGGTGTACTCACACTAGGCAATCTTAACTGTGCCCGAGCGCGTTTGACCCCCAAAGCCCGGTCCGTTTGACTAGTGTGATCGCTCCGTGCTGCACTCGGGCGTGGTTCGTTTAGCCGTCCCTGGCTCGGTTGGAAGAGGTGGGCCAGAGCGCGGTTCCTTTATATATAGATCAGTGAGTGTGAGCGCTAACCGTGCCGGAGCGCGGAACTTCTGGTACCTGCAGCATAATTGCGTGAACATTTCTGAGCAGCAAGAGTGATAGATCTGTAAAGCAATATATTGTGAGAGGGCCGTGTGTTACCACGTCCCAAACGACTCAAAATAATAAACCACAAAGTTAACAAAACGATGCACTCCACTGTGCTGAGCGAGAGCGCTTCTCTGCTGTCTTCACGTGCTATTGGAAACTTCCTGTTTCCCACTTATGAAGACGTGATTACGAGCATGTTGCATTCTTTTCTGTTAAAAATAAGAGTGGACAGTGGTTTGTGAATGTTGATGCATAGCCTGAAATTATTTATTTACTAATAAACAATTTTTTATTTCTTTATTTGTAAAAATAGGACAATATTGCTTCGTTGATTGACTGGATGATTAGCCGGTCAAGCAGGTTAAGAAACATTCTGAGGACACCAGAACACCAGTATCTCATGCTAAGAATCTTTGACATCTTGACCTATAACAGCACAACCACATTTTAATGAAATAATACAGAAATGTATAACTAGAAATGAAAACTAAATATAGATTAGAACATTATTATATCCTCACTATTCCACTGCAGACCATATCCGAGGTAAACAACCTAATTATAACCACATCTCCATTCTAAGCAAGCACATGTCCATGGGCAATAACTCTCTCTCACGCTGATGCTCATTTTGGTCAAAAAGGCCCTGTGTTTGCAATAATAATCAGTATTCATGCACCATGCATGCTTGGCATATGTTCTCCCATATGCTTGGAATCCAGTGCAAGGATTCAGTACACAGCATTGTAACAGTTCACAAGAGAAAAACTGACAACACTATTCCATCAAGTTTGCCAGATTAGTTCACACTGGAGATAAAAAGTGAAAGTTTCATTTGTGATGCTGAAAGAACAAAAAAAGACGAGTATCTTGATCTGCTGACAGCGGTAATTGCTTTGTTTTGTAGACACAAAAAATTAGGGATGTGAGTCTCAGAGGAAGAAGAAAAAGCAATGTCAAACTAATGACATCCAACTAATAACCTCGTTTGTTGATATGGTGAATGAGACACAGTTGGGCAGGATATCAGAGCTATAGTTATGCTCTTAAACATGATTAAGCTCTGTAACTAAGCTCATTTGGAGGTATGAAGAATGGGATCAAGAGAAGACCATTGAATGTGGACAAAGTGTCAAATTGAGATCCTCAAAAAGCTCCCTGTGAAAAGATTAATTTGAAAATATTTAATTGTAATAATATATATATATATAATTGAATAATTTATCTTTTGTAAAAGTCACAACATAAAAGCACTACAGTAAATCTACCAACCAGTAATAAGGACTAAATTATATTATGTTTTAAAATATTATTGCTATAAATGCTTTAAAATGCTATTTCCTAGTCAGATTACATTTACTTTTTAAGCATTACATGATTACATCCTATTTAACAATGGCAGTAAATTATCCATAATTTATTGATTCTCCCTAATTCTTTTTTTTTCTCTTTTGAATTCTATTTCTAAAAATCCTACTGGGTGTCGCACCATTTAGCCTACCATTTATCTATGTAAATAAATTGGGGGACAAAAACACCTCTCAGTCAGTTAGATCATGTATTAGAGGAATAATAATTATTACTAAACACAGCTGATATACAGCTGTGAAATGTTTTTACATCCAGTGATCTTCACTAATTATTGATCTGGACAAAAGTCTGGACAAAAATATTTAAAACCTGGAAAACTTTAAACATGTAATGTCTTTGCTGTTTTCATGTTTGTTCGTGTAATGCAGGGATTCCTGTCAGCATTTTTTTGTCAGCAAATCCCTTTTGACCTAAAATATTTACTTGGAGACCCGAGATAAGTTAATTTTTCAATGTCTTAACAACATTCACACCATCACTTTAACAGTCACACATATTTCTGTTTTTAGTGTTTAATTGTTTTGTTTTGATTTTTAAATCATTTATTCATTTTAATTTTACATTTTTATGATTTCATTAATCATAGCTTTCCATCAACTCAAAAACCCCCTGCAGTTCCTTCATTAACCCCATTTTGGGAAACCCTGGTGTAATGTAATGTTTAATACATTTGTGACCTGTGCTGGCAAAATGAGTCACAATGAGCAAATTTTCAAAAATGAGCTATTTTTATTTTCACATTCTCCATTAAAAGATTATTTTTGTGTGAATACTTGCAAACTGTAATTCTGTGTATATGTGTATATTTATCGGGATTGTGCGCCATCTGAAGCATCTTTATGCGGGCGCTTCGGATGACAGTACAGAAAAGGTACTCCTCTCAGAAAACGTACAAATAAAGATAATTTTAGATGTTCAAATACTATTTGGAGCATTGGGATCGCTAGACGAAGGCTTAATGAACTCATTTTTGTGAAAACGTCCAATTCGACTAAAATCGACATTTTTCACTTTTTTTTTGCATGTAGCTCAAAATTAGCCTGTGCGCATCCCGACTCATTTTGCCAGCACGGGTCACATTTCATGTTGTTGATAAAGAATGGAATATATTTTCTTTTCTTTTTTATATCAATATGGTATACAATAATTTAAAAGTAATCAAAAAGTACTCAGAATGAATCATTAAAATATTTAAATTAATTATTAAATTACGTTACTAACTACAATTTTAATCATGTAATTTGTAATCAGTAACGGATTACAATTTTCAAGCAATCTACCCAGCACTGCATATACCTATAGGGAAACAGGAAATCCGATCATTTATGGTTGCACTTTCTCTAAAAAACAACTTCAGTACAATCCATGTGACAAAACATCAAGGGAAACATAAATCATAACTTCAGTGTTGTGGCCTGAGCTCTCAATTTTTTTTTTTTTAATGAAACACTCTATTTCACCGAATAAATCTTGTATGAATCCCAATAGCACAAATGCTTCATAAATCTCACTTTGTGTGGAAGCTGTCTGAACTATTTGTCAGAAGGACTACCGGTAAGAGACAGGTTGGTTTTCAGTGGAATCAAAACCATGTCTGAATGTAGCTGCTATTTCAGCCAACATGCAGAGAAACACAAAAGTATTGGCAGCGTGTTTGGAGAAAAGCGCGCACTGCGTGTGAACAAGGGATTGATTTTCACAGTCAATTATAGCCATTTTAAGCGCAGTTGTAAATGTGTAAAGAAAGGCCAAAATGTTTCAAAATCACTCCAAAAAACTATGAGTAGGTATCGACAAGCATCTGTTCAGTAAAGATCTAACATCTCCTCCTGTTCCATTCTAGCAAATATGAAATGTCTCACACATACAAAGTAAAGAATGGATTTAATAGCTATTGTGCAATGCTTTGATTTTATTCATATATAGGGGAGAGTGGGGCTAATAGTCAAACCTCCATTTTTGTGTTCACTGCAAAAAAGCTATTAGATCTAAATTAAATTTCACCGTTATTGTTCAGGTAAAAGGCAGAGGCAATAAGCTGTCACAATAGAACCTGCCATTCTAACATAGTTTTTTAAAGCTAAATTCAATCAATAAAACAATTATGAGAAACAAAACGGTCGATAAATATTGTAATTAAAAAATTACAACATACAGTAAAAAAGTCATGTGACACCTGACATTTACAAGAAAATACCCTTGTCTCGAAAACCAATTCAATTCCCTGCGTGACAACTAGCCTCGGTCTCCCCTTATACATGCTCATATAAATTTCTATACATCATTGCGTTTGCATACCGTATGTATTGCTTCTTTCTGAATACACATAATCCAACCCTCCTGTGAAGAGATGTCAAAACATAATTAGCATTTATTAATTCATTTATATTCTTTGTCAAATAAGTAGTGGACCTGTTGCAAGGAATTCAAACTATCCTCTCTCGGCCAAGTCGCTCAACTAGGACAGCACAAAATTAACTAGAAATACAATTTGGAACTTGGAACAAAACAAGAACAGTGGGACGTCGAGACAGTTTATCTCAGCGATTGATACTGCTGCTACTGCAGTGGACCATGAAATTGTCATTTGTTCTGCAAGCGTTGCATCAAATGAAAGTTAAGGGCTACACACTAGCAAAGGTCTAAACTCTGGCAGTGAGAGGACCCCATGGCTAATTATATCCATTCCATACAAATGGTATACCTACTAATACAGAGGCATATCTGTAAAATGGAGTATGAAAATGCATTAAGATCTGAAACGCTGAATGATACTCATTGTGGTTACTAAGAACGGTCATGCAATACAACACATCAAACACACTTTTTTAGTGTGTGCATTGTGTCCGTACATGTGCTAAAGAGAAAGCATTAGGGGAAGTAATGTATCCCATTTGAGGGATTACATTTTCACACTGGCTTTTAAAAGGCATGTTTTAAAAGAATAGTTCAACCAAAAAAAAAAAAAAAACTCTGTTATCGTTTATTCACAATCATATTGGTCCAAATCCAAATTATTCTATTTTATGGAACACAAAAGGAGAAATTTTGAAGAATCTACTGGTCATTCTGGACACAAAAAGATTTTTAATTCAGCCAGTTTTTGTGAACTGGATCAACTCATTCATTTGCTTTGGACTGTTCCACACACAAAGCTATTGTAAGCTTGAGAAGACTATAATAGCACAATATAGCGCAGAAGTCTTATGATTAGTGGTCGACAGATATGGATTTTTTGTTGGCAGTATCTTACAGAGCATGGTGGCCAATGGCTGTTATATATGAAACCATACCATTTACTTTATTAACTATAGTAAATAACACAAGCATAACAATTACTAAAATATTATTTTACATCATTCTGACTAAAAAAAACATTTGAACTGAAAAAACAAAAACTGTAAAATAAAGATAAGCAATTCCTTTATTCTGTAACCATATTGTGGCATTTTCAAAAACAAAGATTTTTTTTAAACATGAATAAAAATAAAACACTATAACCAACAGTGCACTCTGTAACCTGTTATTCCAGTAACAGATTTCAGTAACCTTAAGCCAATAATTATTTTCATGTTTTGTACCAATAACTGTTAAATGGGATTACATTTTAAAATGCTATGCTATTTTGCCTAAATAAATTAAAAACAAAACACAAAAAAAATTCAAATCAGTTGTTTTAAATGCAACAAGTGAATTCCAGCATTATAATGCATCATAAAAAATATATTAAGAAATGGATATTCATTTTGAGATTTTTGTTAGAGAATAAATTTAACAGTGTTGTTAAAATATTAGTGTTTTTTAAAGATAATTAAGTGAACATAGATGATGGCAAAGGTAATCTAAATGTAAAAATAGAAGAAATGAGAATGCACAATTAAATATCCAAAACTGGGTGATATATATCCAACAACGACCAATGCAATTCCTTAAAATTGTTCTTTTTGTGTTACAAGAATAAAAAACTCATACGTATTTCAAACAACATGATGGTGAGTAAATAATGACAGAATTTTGAATTTTTGGGTGAACTATCCCTTTAATACACACAGGCGCACACACACGCACACGCACACGCACACGCACACGCACACACACAACACACACACACAACTCCACGCTCCCCCAGAAAGAGAATATCATGGTCTGTGATTTCAGTAAGGAGCACAACAGCGAAAACACAGCGACGCCATAGATAGTGAGAGACGTTCAGAGACGGCGGAGTCAGTTGCTGCTCAGGAGGAGAGAAAATGGCAGACAACAAATAAAAGAGAGAAGTCGAGGAGGCGTATTATCAATATCCCGCCCTTCATGCAGCCCGCACTAAAGCAGAGAATGAGGAAGCCAGAGAGAAGCAGTCAGCGTTTAGGAAAGCCACTCGCCCCAGCACTACACATGACAGTGCCCACCATAACGCCACAGTGCTCGCTCAGAGGGGTGTCAGTGCTGTACTGTGCAATGCCACAAGTTAAAGAAATAAAACACAAAGAAATCAAGTGAAAAAACTAGGGCTGTCACTTTAAATAATGCATTTAAAGAAACAAAAGTAATGCCCTAAAGTTGATCTCTGTTTGACCTGATGTCTAATTTGCTAACAAATTATTTTTTAGATTTGGATCTTTAAATGATTCAACTGATTCATTTTAGAATCAGTCTAGATCAGTGGTTCCCAAACTTTTTGCAGCGTGCACCCCTTTCTAGTGTTTGACACGTCAAGCACCCCCACCTCCGTACTCCGGTTAAACACCACATTTTTTACTGCAATACAAGTATAAATACAAGTATTCACTGTATACAGGGCTTGACTAACTCTTTTGCTCACCAGCCACTGTGGCTAATGGTTTTCCAAAATTACTAGCCACTCAGTATTTTCACTGGCCACAATTTTGTTACTGGAAAATTACATTTTATATGACTAAAGTTACTGCATATTAAAATTTTTCAAGAGGGTCTAGCTGCAGCCTTGCACTTGCACTCTCAGACGTGCATTCTCAGGCTTGCACTCTCAGACACTTGCGCTTCCGCTAGCGACGTCACTTGCAGTCTTTTATATTTTTTTTATTTTGTTCTATTTATTGATTACTTTTTGTTTGAATCTCTCAACATTTTACAACAGCCAGGTGGTGAAGACAAGAAAAAAGCAACTAAATTACGAAGTCACTTGCAATCGCCACTTGCACTCTCCGATACCTGCGACGTCACTTGCAATCGCCACTTGCACTCTCCGATACCTGCGACGTCACTTGCAATCGCCACTTGCACTCTCCGATACCTGCGACGTCACTTGCAATCGCCACTTGCACTCTCCGATACCTGCGACGTCACTTGCAATCGCCACTTGCACTCTCCGATACCTGCGACGTCACTTGCAATCGCCACTTGCACTCTCCGATACCTGCGACGTCACTTGCAAACTGTCTTAATGAGTGAGTCATTGAGGCATTCAAACGATTAGTTCAGATGGCTGATTCATTCAAGAATGAAGCAAGCGCCTGTTTTTATGAATGGACCACTGAATCATTGACTCAAATTATTAATTCAAAAATGTGAATCATTCAGTAGCCTACCGAAACACCGCTGACGCTGTGTGTTGCTCAGAGATGCGCGACTGTTCTGCTGCTAAGTTTGTTTGGAACTATTTTCGTTAAACAAATAGAGCAAAAACAGTCACATTGACATTATTGTACTAAAATGTATGCCCTAAATTACATAATATTAACTACTCGTTTGAAGTCTTGTTTAAAATCAATGTTGAATTTACAATCGTACTGATTTTCGGGGAAAACTGCACTCTCTTAGTCGTGTCATGTTAATTAATTAGGCTAGGCTTTATGTAATAAATATAATAACTACATTTTTTACCGCAGTATGTTTCTTCTGTGTGCAGTTGTGTTCATTTGTTTCGATTTCTCCATGAGATTGTCTCACGTGAGTCTCAACTGCCGCAACCTTGTAACTATTGATTATCCATTATGAATTGCTGTTTACACCAAGTGTAATGAAATCAGAATCATTCTCGCCGAAATTTTGGTGCTTCCCTAATTCAATGTTTTAATTAGATTAGATTAGTTGTATGGTCGGGCAAGTAAAATTCTCTTTCACTTGCCCCTTCAAAAAATGCACACAGATCATCAAAAGCATTCTCTCGTACACCCCTGCTGGTCGGTCTGTGCACCCATAGGGGTGCGCGCACCCCAGTTTGGGAACCACTGGTCTAGATGATTCTTGAGACTACAAGTCAATGATTCACTGAAATGAGAACCACCTCTTTTGGAAATGTCAGACTCAAAATGTATACCACTGAGAATGAGAACGAACCAAAGGTTTGACTGATTTTAACAAATAACACATACAGGAAATATGTTTAGTTTTACCAACACAAATACCAAAAAGAGTTTGTTCTAATGAATAGCATACTAAAATATGCAAAAACATTTTATGTAAATAAATAATCATTGTATGTTGTAAATGCAAATTTATATTTAGGTTCTAAATGACATTTTTAGGAGCTGAGTCATGGCTACAAATACTTTCTCAGCAAACATTGAAAAGGGATTAATTAATTGATGTATAATGTAATTTATTTGATTTAAAAATAACTGATTGACAGCCCTAGAAAAAAAATAAAATAAAGTGACGACACACAAAGCTGAACGCCAGCAGGCATCCTGGCCAATCGAGAGAAGGAGAAATTGCAATGAAGAAGAGGTCATTTTTGGTTAGTGCAGCATTTCGGATCCCTTACTGAGCTGCGTACAGCATGTGACATATACTGACCTGGACTTGAGACAGCACTAGTTGTTGTGGGTTCAATAATTGCTACAGGAAAAGAAGGGGAGAGGGAAAAGAGGACATTTATATATTATTAACATAACGAAGACCCAAAAGAAGGGAAAAGAGAACAAAAACATGTAAAGACTGGAAAGAAAAAAGGGTGTGAAAATTTTGCCTCTGTGGTCAACTGGCAATAAAAGGGCCCTTTACACCGCAAAATAAAACAAATCCATGCTGAGCTTGATCATCTTGATCAAAATATAATGTTCAGTCGGGTTTAATGTTCAGAGGGTTTTCAACGGAGTCGGTTTCAAATCATATTATGATCTCTGATCTTTGAGCTACAGGAAGGAGAGGGAAAAGAGGACATTTATATATTATTAACATAACGAAGACCCAAAAGAAGGGAAAAGAGAACAAAAACATGTAAAGACTGGAAAGAAAAAAGGGTGTGAAAATTTTGCCTCTGTGGTCAACTGGCAATAAAAGGGCCCTTTACACCGCAAAATAAAACAAATCCATGCTGAGCTTGATCATCTTGATCAAAATATAATGTTCAGTCGGGTTTAATGTTCAGAGGGTTTTCAACGGAGTCGGTTTCAAATCATATTATGATCTCTGATCTTTGATACTCCAAATTAGAAGCTTCTGAGCATCACTCAATTCAACGGACCGGAATGAAGCTCAGCTCAATTAACACATGAAATTAAATTCGCACCTAGCAGACAGTCATTTAATCATGATGATGTAATATAGTTTTCATATTATTAATAGATATCATACTCTCTCAATTGCCCCAGCTCCCTTTTTGGGAAATGTTAAAAGCAGGACTTTAATGTCAATCCATTTTTAATCTCATATAGGCTCGATATTTTCCAGTGAGTTACTTAACTGATGGTAATTAAAATGTAACTGGGGGGATACGTCTAGATCTGGGGGAGATAAACTGAAACATGAATGTCTTCACATTTTCCATCTGCTGATACATATACATAAAACAGAAAAATATAAAAAAATGGAAAATGAATCCAACAGCCAAAGCAAAAGTATTTGGACACTTAAAAAGGTCAGGCTGTCAATGCATTAGATACAAAATATTAAACCAAGTGGCATCTGCAAACAAAAGTGGCTGACTTCATTTTTTCCTAGCCATGACTGGTAACTACCTGGTCTCAAGGTCATTTTCAGTAGATGTATGAATTTATTTCCCCATAAGTTCATACAAGTGCCCTTGTACAGTAGCCACAGGTGTAGAAACACACTAAAGGTCACACACGGTTGTAAGCATAAATAATACATAAACCTCAAATTATAATAAATTCTATTGTTAAAATATGCCATTTACTCCACTTTCCCGCAACAATGCACAACATGTAGCTTTAAAATTCATATGTTTTCTATTGAACCAAGAGGTCAGTAAATCTGTTTATATGCTCTACTGGCCAAACATCTTTCCGTTATGTGAACTTGTAGATCAGAGTTCACCAAACTTGAACTTTGGCACACATTGAAAGGTGAAACTTCTCTGCTTGTTTGTGTTTCCGGTCTCCCACGTTTAGATGGAAGTGAATGAAACAAACTGTAGCGTGATGGGACAGTTCACTCAAACATGAAAATTCTGTCCTCGCTTACTCACACTCATGTTGTTGTATGACTTTCTTTCTTCTTTCTTCTGCACAATACAAAATAAGAATGTTGGTAACCAAACAGTTTTGAGTTTTGACCAACTGAAATTGTATAGAGAAAGGAAACACAAATCACATTTCTCAAAATGTTATCTCCTTTTCTGCTGCAAAGAAAGTCATACAGGTTTGTAATGACACAAGGTAAATAAATGACAGAATTTAAATTTGTTGGAACACAAAAGAAGATATTTATCTCTCTATTTTTTCATGCATATTATTAAAGTCATTGGGGTCCAATGTTACTTCGACAGTGTTCTTCAAAATCTATTATTTTGTATTGTACAGAGGAAAGGAATGCATAAAAGTTTTGGAACAATGAATAAATTATGACAAAAGTTGCATTTTTGAAAGAAGTATTCCTTTATATCGCCAGGAAATGTTCTACTGTATCTTAATTTTGAACAGTCTATCTATTATCTATAATTTAAAATGAAGCAAACTTCCTTTTGTGAAATGCTTTATTCAAAAAGGTCTTTCCACTATTTCCTTTTAAACGAAATGTAGATGTACTTCTGCCCAGCTTCATCAAATTTCATGAAACTGTATCAATAAAATCACATGAACAACATATTACTATGAAAACATAAAAGTGGTTGCGTGACAGACGCTGGTCTTTTTTTTTTTTTAAGGAAAAAAAGGACTCAGGCCACAAACCATCTGGACATTTGTCAAAAGTATTATCCTTCCCTTTCAAAATCCGTTGTGACAGTAGAGATGAACTGAACAAGAAAAAAAAAAGTCAGGATCTGTGTTTTATCTTTTATTGTTCAAATCAACATTACAGTGACTCCGTACAGTAAGAGTGACTTTGTGATTAAGGGGTGTAATGACCTCAACAGAGGCTTCTCTCTGGTAAGCCCTTTGCTAAATTGAGAGCCCTGGAGTTGAAATCACAGCGCCTAGAGAGAGTTCACATCATTACTGTTCGCAGGTTCAGGGGCAGGGTTGAGACAGTGTGTGTGTGTGAAGCCAAAACACAGACGATGTGTGTTGCAGCTTTCAGCTGCCGTTCATGCTAAGCGCACAGACATGCAACCTGGAGCAATCATCACCACTGACAGCACCGCACTCTTTGGGAATAAACTGACATTTCTCTGTAAATCAGAGAAAGGGTATAAAATTTAGTGGAGGCGGCAAAAGCAAAAGTGAAAGATTTTGTACAGATTTAATAATAATAATAATAATAAAACATTCTTATATTTATTTATAGATGTACATAGATACATATATTCTCGGTTTGTTTGTTCAACAATGGGTACTTTTGGCCTGTGGAATTTCAGAAATCAAACAAACTTTCACTAGTTTATCTACTTTGCGTAATGTTCAACATTGTATATACATATGACAAGAGAATTCTGTAATTTTATTTTTCCCCATCCATAAATGTTATTTCCACCACATCTCAAATCAAAATTTATTCTGTATTGGAAATTACATATTTTTGCTATTTAGACAAGAAAATGGAAGGATGGATGGATACTTTTGCTATAAAATGGTTGTCGGCTTCATATCTAGCATTTTGTGTTTCCTACTGTTCACACAATTACAATTATTTTATGCATAATTTAAGCACACCACTGTTGTCTCCTTGGTACAGTAAACAAGCACATTAACTTTAATTTTGTGAAAACTCATATAAATCAATTTAACACATTTAAATGGTTTATGATTACTTTATATTTTTGTTAGAATATCATAGTTCTATTTATGTTGAATATTTCATTTTTCATGGTTTCATTGACTCTACACATAAACTAACACATGAAAGTCGACAAAAAATATGTTTCCAAGATGGTTTAATTGTGACCTTCATACAATGATAAGAAAAGCGCTGCAAACATCTGCTTGTTATAATAAAAACCAACTCCTGGTTCAAAAGAACCATACAACCTATAATTGGAGAAAGACCAATACGTTCAGGCAAAAATAAATAAATAAATAAATAAAATCAAGAAATTCATTGCTTCCTTAAAATTCATAAATCTTTAGTAATGATACTTTAGGATGGATACAAATCCTTGGCTTCCTTTCAGAGTTTTTAATTATAAATATTTATGTTTCTCATTCTTACCAAATCTGGCCTACATTGCAATTTGAGTTGAGAATCTAAATTCAAAATTCTTCTAAAACAAAGATCACGTTACTCATCATAGTCATAGTTTTTGATGATCTTAATGCAACTCTAAGAAGGTGTCTTCTCCCTTGGTTAATATCAGATGAACACCACAATGTGATTTGTGAAACTTCCTTCCATGTGGAGCTCTCGGTCTTTATATTACAGTATTGCATGACGTGTAATATTCAGGTACTGTATAGAGCAATGGAGTAGCCTGCATTGCATCCACGTAAAAGCAGATTGATGTGTACACTGAATGACCTCTGTTCTCACTTGCAAGGAAAAAAACCCCATCATCATGGTGGGAGGAATTGCATTTCATTCTATAATAACATCTCATTTTTTCCCTTTTCTCTTTACAAAGAAATGAACATCCAGCTTCTATACAATTCACAGAAACGTAAATTGCCAAGATACGAGTGGAGTGCTATCTGATGTGCATTGTTAGACCACTCTACGACTGTGAGACTATGAGCTGTGCTTTAATTCATTTATTTTACGCCAACCCCTTAACGATGGATTTTAAAACTTGAAGGTCAAAATGAATTATTTAAAGGGGCTAATTTTCTCTAATCTTCAGAAGCTCAATGCACAGTACTGATGAAGAAAAACTTTGGCTGCATCCTTGAACGGCTAAACCTTCTATCTTTCATGCATGGTCAGACGCATCGCAAGGATTGCCTATTTCTCCAGGCGGTTTTAACCGCCGTCTCCATTAATGATTGGACAGGAGGTGTTTTATAGCCAAAACAGACTCTCTGCATCACAAACACCTTATTTTTCAAGGACCTGCTCGCCGCACATTCAGCGTACAAACAGTGAGGCGGCACCCTTTAAGACGTCAAAATGATGACTGTTGTAATACAAGATAAAAGTCAATGAGAAAGATAAATGTCAGTCCATCTGTTCGGCTGTCCTTTTCAGCGCTGGACTGAATTTGATTAGAGCTTCAAAACCACTGCAAATGAAGACAACAAAATGCAACCTCAACAAGAAAATGCAGTATAATACCAATCTCTCATATAGTATGTGCATCAAAAGAACAGCAACGAAATGGGTTAATGTAATAGCATTCACAATCTCAGCCTCAGATGACATGTCCACAGACCACTTCGTTTCGCCGACTGTCTGATGCATAAGCACAAAAAGCTGGAAAGCACTTTCTCAGTCTGGCAAGCTCTAATGTGATTGGCTGGTTTTATGCAGCTTTTGGGACTAAGGGCACAAAGTCGAGTTTACAGGCC